TATGTATTTTGAAAGAATATAATCTGCATAGATAAATTTATCTTTTATTTTATTTTTTGCAGGTGCCATTCAATCGCATTCTGCATGCCAGTACTATATTTGGCAAGTGGGCTGATCATAACTGACACTGCCGTCGCAATATTCAGCAATAATATTGCAATAACTTATTTTCCAAACATGGTGCTGCACTAATTTCAAATATATTATGCGAAACAATAAAATTTTTTATTTATTAGAACTACTAGCAAGATTTTTCTTTAATAAAGTAAACAAGACTGCATTTAAAAATAGTTTGTCAACTGTACAAAATCTTATAATCAGTTTTTGTTGCAAACCTATATCGGATTTACTTAAAATCTGTTCTTTCATAAACGATCTTCCACATGCCTCCGATGACATCACATAAGGCAGCTGATCCACAGTCACCGGCCACTTTATTAGGTACACATTGCTAGTAACGGGTTGGACCCCCTTTTGCCTTCAGAACTGCCTCAATCCTTCGTGGCATAGATTCAACAAGGTACTGGAAACATTCCTCAGAGAGTTTGGTCCATATTGACATGATAGCATCACACAGATGCTGCAGANCTGCCTTAATCCTTCGTGGCATAGATTCAACAAGGTACTGGAAACATTCCTCAGAGAGTTTGGTCCATATTGACATGATAGCATCACACAGATGCTGCAGATTTGTCGGCTGCCCATCCATGATGTGAATCTCCCGTTCCACCACATCCCAAAGGTGCTCTATTGGATTGAGATCTGGTGACCGTGGAGGTCATTTGAGTCCAGTGAACTCATTGTCATGTTCAAGAAACCAGTCTGAGATGATTCGTGCTTTATGACATGGCGCGTTATCCTGCTGGAAGTAACCATCAGAAGATGGGTACACTGTGGTCATAAAGGGATAGACATGGTCAGCAACAATACTCAGGTAGGCTGTGGTGTTGACACGATGCTCAATTGGTACTAAGGGGCCCAAAGTGTGCCAAGAAAATATCCCCCACACCATTACACCACCACCAGCAGCCTGAACTGTTGATACAAGGCAGGATGGATCCATGCTTTCATGTTGTTGACGCCAAATTCTGACCCTACCATCTGAATGTTGCAGCAGAAATCGAGACTCATCAGACCAAGCGACATTTTTCCAATCTTCTATTGTCCAATTTTGGTCAGCCTGTGCGAATTGTAACCTCGGTTTCCTGTTCTTAGCTGACAGGAGTGGCACCTGTTGTGGTCTTCTGCTGAACAAGGCATTTGTGCCCACAGAACTGCCGCTCACTGGATATTTTCTCTTTTTCAGACCATTCTTTGTAAACCCTAGAGATGGTAGTGCATGAAAATCCCAGTAGATCAGCAGTTTCTGAAGTACTCAGACCAGCCCATCTGGCACCAACAACCATGCCACGTTCAAAGTCACTTAAATCACCTTTTTTTGCCATTCTGATGCTTGGTTTGAAATCCAGCCGATCGTCTTGACCATGTCTACATGCCTAAATGCATTGAGTTGCTGCCATGTGATTGGCTGATTAGAAATTTGCGTTAACGAGCAGTTGGATACGTGTACCTAATAAAGTGGCCGGTGAGTGTAAGTTCATGTGAATTTGTCCATTTGTATTTTTGTTGTTTTTTTTGCTCTTTAATACTTATGATAGTTTTCCTGGAAAGTTTTCCCCTCCACTGTCGCTACATGCATGCTCAGTATGAGGGATTGCTGCAAAGTCAACGCCAGTGACTGTCCACTGTCGCTACATGCTCATCCGGGAGGAGGGAATGCTGCAAGTCACGGACTAGATGCAATCTGCTGGGTTTACTTAATAAATTTGTAACCAGAAAAAATAAGTAAGAGAAAAGAAATCCCTTTGCTTGGCAGTCAGAAAGAGAGACGTTTTATTAAGGTAAAGGAGTATGAGTTCAGGATGCATGCCACTTTAAATGATACAGGTAGAACAAGACATTTATTTTATTTATCTTTATTTAAGCGGTTCACACATATAAGGGTAAATCCCTTGAAACTTAAATGCAACTAGAATCCTTTAAAATCTGCCAAAATTTGTCAAGACTCTTTTTCTGCAGTTTTTAGCAATTTCAACTGATTAGCTGAATTATTCTTGTGATGTCATCGACCCAAATACAAGCAAAGCAGAATCTGCATTCCTTTTATTAAAATGCTTCTTTTAGACTATGTAGCTTGTGAAATCCTAAATCAATACTTTATTATTCAGTTTTGTCAGTATTGTTTGTAAGCAATTAAGAGTAAAAAAACAGTGACCAAAAAACACAGCTGAGGTAAATCTTTGTACATTAATGACACAATTACATGACCAATCCTGCCATGGAATACAGCATCAGTGTCTTTCTGGTCTTTGAAAGTTTTTTCCTTGACATCTGGAAATGTTTGTAGGTTTCTTGTCCTATAACTTTTGCTAGGGACACAAAAAGCTGATTAACCACATGCTGACTGTAGTGTCAATTGAAAATAATCTGAAACAGGACTAACGTAAGTTAAACATAATTAACTTTATAAAACAGCTTCAAGGATAACTTTCACAAAAAACAGAAAAATTGCAATCTGCAGGTCTGCCTTCAATCAGAAATGTCCTCACATAGGATCAAATGCCAATTTTTTTCAGTCTTTAATTTATTTTATGAGAATTGCTCTATTTACCATGAAATGAATAGATTTTTTTTCAACAGCAATCCTTTTTAATTAAGAAGTGGTAGATCGGGTTTAATTTAGTTCGATTTAGCAATAGCCTGATGAGTTTGGCTATCTTAATGTCACAAAATTAAGATGCCACAAAATCTCAATTTTGTGACATCTTATAAATAAAAATTATACAAGGAATTGAACTTCATTTGAATTCAAAAATCAAGGTTGTTGGTTGGAGATGGTAAAGTTTATTAGACCTAATGTATTTTTTAAATTTGTTGTTGACTAAATCTAATTTATTAGACCTAATGTATTTTTTAAATTTGTTGTTGACTAAAACATCTGAAATTTGTACTTTTTACTCTCAAGATAATATTTCAATGCAATCTTTTAGATCCAGGCTGTCCCACATTACCTTCCACAAGCTTCCCTTGGGGTCCAAAATCAAGTTGGCTGAGATTTGACCGTCCAAAATAACACGCATGCATGGATCTGCGCACGAATGTGAGCTGCTGCAGTCAAGTTACTGAGAAGATGCACAGCAGGGCTGTTGGCTTCAGATCAGCTCTTCAGAGGAACCAACAGCGATGTTAAACAAACTCAAGCTATAAAAGCAAGGCAGAAGCAGACCTTTTACTGTAGGTGCACAGTGAGTGCATAGGATAGAGATAATTTCAGCTGCTTTGGCTCAACTCTTAATTAAAGAAATAAGAATGTTTCTTAGGTCGAAGGGGCTTGATTGACCAAACCCCATTTGGCAATGAAGAAACAACTCTAACTTACCAAGTATGAGTTGCAGTGGGCGGTGTCCTCTGGATAATGTTTTTCTTGAGGTGCCTTTTCTGCAGCACAGTTTAATCCTCAGGAATAAAAACAACTGTTCAACACATGGAAAAATATGATTTTCATCACTTTCCATTTAAAGTCGCTGATCTGGCTCAGCTTGTAGATATTTCTGTTCTGGTGAGAAGTTGTTTCAGTCTGCAATCATTAACACCGGGGAAGAACCGACACCCTGTTTCATGCTGCCAGGATCTCAGGCATTCAAAGCTAAATTTAAACGTGTCGTTTTAGAACCTAATGGAAAGTAAAGCATTCAGTCTTTCATACTATCTGTAAACATGAAGGGCCCTCTACACCCCCGAAAGATCTGCATGAGCTCAGTCTGAAAATATTAAACCAATCAGAACTTTAATTTATTTAAAAATAGATCAAAATGTCTTGAATGTTTAATTAGTAATAGATGACTTCCTTCTTCCCTGAGGTGTAAACAATATCTGACACGGAGACCAATTTTTCTATGTCACAGTTTAAAATGGGAAAGACAAGAGAACATGGCATTCAGCTATAATGCGACAGCTCTTAATGATTCATGAAATTGCTCAAGAAAATAGCTACTTACCAAAACTTGCCCATTATTTATCCCCAGAAGGATAAATAAAAACACAACTGGAAAAGAACCCTAGACCCTCCAACCGATTTTACATAATTTTGTGATGTCTTTTTGTAAATTTAAATACAGAATGTATTGTATTTTAGAAATGAAGTTTTCAGTGGGGTAGGTATTAAACAGTGACTCCTCTTTGCTGTAAGGCCAATGGAACAATAGGTGTCTGAACAATAGCTGAAACATAAATAAATTGGAACCATTCTCACAGTGACCAAAAAACAACAAAAATCTCTTGAATTGGGATCCAAGTCTATATTCATTAGCATATGGGGAACGTGATCCTCTACATGATTTCAAAACTATTTTGCTAACAATCAGCTGATGTTGACTTGATGTCTCCAAAATGTTTTGTTAATGATCCACATAGAGACTATATTGGCACAATGGCATCAAACTGTTCCCGGGCCTTAATGTAGCCCTTTTGGGCTTTTTGTTGCTAATTTACATCATTACATAAAGTTCAGAGGAGATCTGAAGCATTTAAAGCAAATTTTCCAGTCTTTAAAGCCCTGAAACTTGCCAAGAATGAAACCATAATTATATCACTACTTTGAATTAGCAAAAAAGAAGGACACTCATCAGATTACACTTGTGACAAGTTACTATGTTGGGGCATGTGTCCAAAAGTAATTTCTTTTTACTTTATTTAAAAAAATTAATTGAATTATTTCTCAGAATATTCCTTTAGTGTTGATAAGAAACATAACTAGATGCTGCAATGTTTTCCTTGCAGTTGTTACTCCTTTCTGATTACTGAAGCATGAAAAAGGCAATCAAAATGCCAATAAAATAATAAAATAAAATGCAATAAAATAATAAATGCAATAATAAAACTCCTTAATGCGTGGGCCCAATCGAAATATAATTGTACTATTTACAAATTATAAACCGGGCTGCACGGTGGCGTAGTTGGTAGCGCTGTTGCCTTCTTTCCCCTGGACCTTCTTACCTTGCAGCAAGAAGGTCCTGGGTTCGATTCCTGGCCTGGGGTCTTTCTGCATGGAGTATGTATGTTCTCCCCGTGCATGCGTGGGTTCTCACCAGGTACTCTGGCTTCCTCCCACAAGACATTCCTGTTAGGTTAATTGGTCTCTCTAAATTTCCGTTAAGTGTGTGAATAAGTGTGTGCATGGTTGTTTGTGTGTTGCCCTGCGATGGACTGGCGACCTGTCCAGAGTGTACCCCGCCTCTCAGCCGTAGACTGCTGGAGATAGGCACCAGTTTCCCCACGACCCACTATGGAATAAGAGGTAGAAAATGACTGACTGACATCCAGGATGCTTTAAGATTGTACAGGTTGACATGCTTTAAATAGTTTTAATATTTCCAAAGTTAGTATGTACAAACTTGCAGTGCTACATAATTGAACACAAGCCCAACTTTGCAACCACAAAAGCTTACTGAACAGTGATTTTTGTAATTCATTGCTGCAAAAAGAACTGCAATGAGACGTGACCTGTAAGCCCTGTCACAATAGTTGGATGTGCGCTCTTCATTTAACAAGTGAGATGAGGCAATAAGAATTGGTACGATTACACTGTCTGTCAATAAAGCAAAACAGGTTTGATATTTAAGGAATGCTGAAGTAAGTAAATAAAACAATCAGCAGCTGTGAAGACAACATGTATAAGACAAAAAACAAAGTGCAACTACATTAACATAAACATTAACAGAGGCTATAACTAGCTATAACTTGGTTTCTTTAGTTTGGGAAACGAACTCTTTCTCCACAGTTTCTCTTTCCTTCTGTCTTCTTCTCCTGTGTAAACGAAAACAGTAAGTGACAATTACAAAACAATTGCTTTCTTCTTCATTGAGATCATTACATTAAGAGCAATAACATACAAAATTATCAGTGTAAAAAACACAGTTTTAGACTCACCTGCAGATGTGCTGCATTTGAGGTATGGTCTCTGGCAACGCCTTCCCATACGTCTCTGGCAGCAGGAAGCAGATAATCCCACCAGCAATGGCTAAAACGCCCATCACAATGTACGGGAGTGCCTTGTAGTATTTCCCTGCAAATAAAAAAGGTAAACATGCTTTGAGAGAGGAAAAGAAAAAGTTTAGTAAAAATGTCATTCCCACAGTAAAAAAAAAAAAAAACGTCTATTACATGTAGCTTAAATTAAGGTAACAGATCTACTTCATGGGCTGCACGGTGGCACAGTTGGTAGCACTGTTGCATTGCAGCAAGAAGGTCCTGGGTTCAATTCCCAGCCAGGGGTCTTTCTGCATGGAGTTTGCATGTTCTCCCTGTGCATGCGTGGGTTCTCACCGGGTACTCCGGCTTCCTCCCACAGTCCAAAGACATNACCGGGTACTCTGGCTTCCTCCCACAGTCCAAAGACATGTCTGTTAGGTTAATTGGTCAATCTAAATTGCCCTTAGGTGTATGAATGAGTGTGTGCATGGTTGTTTGTGTGCTGCCCTGTGATGGACTGGCGACCTGTCCAGGGTGTACCCTGCCTCTCGCCCATAGACTGCTGGAGATAGGCACCAGCTCCCCTGCGACCCACTATGGAATAAGCGGTAGAAAATGACTGACCGATCTACTTCATTTGTGATAACTTCCAATAAATCATATTTTTTATGTTATTATTGTGTCAAAAACGGCAAGTTTAAATTAAATTATTTATATTTCAGATAAAGTCAACATCTATTGTAAATAACACATTCGAAGTTTCTAAAGTTCAGTTGGGCTGTTCCAGTAATTTGTTTCAAATGTGCATTTGGGAGGTGAAGCGGAGCAAGTTTATTGTAATTACCCCACACCTCCACTAGGTGGGGCAGATTGCTTGTCAAGTTTTTGGATCAATTGTTTTTGTTAGGAACCCTTCTTTAACTGAGTGTAAATTGAAGTTCCTTCTTCTGAGCTTAGAAACCAAAACAATGTTGAGAACAAATCTTTGCTTTTGCATTCATGACGAACAATACAAGAAACATTTTCTGGCAGCAGACATTTTTAAATATTTCTTTCAAGGATTTAACTTGTAAGATTTTTCTGATAAAAATGCCCTATAGATAGCCTAAAAGAAATTAAATACAGAACTACAAAAACGATATATTTGTGGTTGGTTTGTTGTTATTGCGAATGTTGCTGTTTCGTGACAAATTTAATAAAAATGTCCACTCTGTATAGAAGACATTAATGCAACCTTTGTTTGTAGGAGATATTTGTTTCTTCAGTGATATTTGTATTATTTGATCATTGTGATCTTTACTGCTTAAGCTAAAATTTCTATCTTCTAACTAATTATATTAGAAGTTAGTTTACTAAATAATAGACCAATGCAAAGTAGCACATATTGCAAAGCAAAATAAAAAAAAAAAATTAAGCTAAAAAGTGTAATGTATGTATATACTGTACGTAATTTTCCAAGGCTCTGTATGTAACAGTTATACATTTTTTTACTTGTGTAGTGTTGTCTCTTTTTTTATTTTTTAATACATCATAGACAATATTGTACAATATGTATTTACTATGCAAAAAAACACAAACAAAAAAGTGAAGTGATCACATTTATATATCTACATGTTTTATAATTTAAAACATTTTCCAGAAAATGGAAAGTTGATAAAGTGCTGATTTAATTTTGAATGAATGATTCTTTAAACTGTAAAAATAAAGTACATTTACCTAGATAAATAATAAAAGGAGAGATGATAGTGGCGATACGGGCAGCCATGGAGCAGCAGCCCATTGCTGTATTTCTGATAACAGTGGGGAAGAGCTCTGATGTGACGGAATAAACTACACAGAACGCTGCGGTCACTCCAAACTTTCCTAACATCTCAAGAAGCACAGCCACAGTGGGTAAATCTAGAGAAATAGAGAAGAAAATTCAGCTTCACATTTATTGTTTGCTAAAAACATTAAGTGTTTTGATGCAGCAAGAGGGTGGCTTTGATTGGGATCTGGTTTCTGAAAAGGCACAAATCAGTCAATCAGTTTCTCTATAAAATAGTTACAGATTTTTGTTCTAGTCAAATCTGTTCTATTCGGTTCTGTTTTTCTATTCAAAACAAATGAAATGGCAGATTAGTTAGGTAAAAATGCAATCAGTTTTTATTTCTCCACAGCATAGCAGCATTACCTATGGGTATAAGTCGAACACAGAGGATCATGACGCCTCCGAGGAAAAGAGTGGAGGACTGACACAGGTGCCTGGAGCAGAACCGCAGCAGCAACAAGGCAATTATGTATGCTGGAACTTCTGTCACAGCTGACAGGAAGCAGTTTAGGAAGGGGTCGCCATGAAGATTTGAAGTGTTAAGGAGCAAAGCATAGTAGCTAATGGTGATGATCATCCTGCGAAGACATTCACAAAACTCGCTTTAATTGCAGATTACAAGAACAAAAATCTACATGCAAAGTGAGACAATTATCTGGTGCAACTGCAGAAATGCTGCACTGGATGCTAAAGCTTAAAACACTGCCATGAATGAAAGTGTTGTGATGTAAGGATTTATTTCATGTAAGGAAGTTGAAGACATACCACAGACTGGCACATAACAATGTAATAGATGCTATATTGCAGCTTTTCAGGATGACCAATGGATTTATTTTCTCACCACTCTTAGACAAAGCATCTTCAATCTATGTAAAATAAGAAGGAATGGTCAGTGCAATAAGCATTGATTCCAATAAATAAATCAATAAAAATGCTTTAAAAGAAGAAGTGGTCATGAATAGGTTTTATGGCTGCAAGCCAAATGCAAACCTAATTAAATGTTTAGTGTTTTTTATACTGATAATGATGTGGTTTGTGATGAACTTACCTCAGCTGGGCTAAAAATGTCCTTAGGGACTTCTACTCTATTCATTTTTGCAGCTTTTCTAAGAATGGCTTCTGCGTCTTTTACTCTCCCTTGAGAAAGCAGCCAGCGAGGAGACTCTGAGAGCAACCTGAAAAGACAAGCATCTTTGTCAGAAAAGTGAAAGTTATGAGGAAAACAACAGCTTGTGAAGTTGTTGTGAAGGTTCTGATCTGCATCTTTGAACGTTTGTGGTGTCCCACAGGGGTGAGCATGGGGCCAGATTTTTTTTATTATGTATAAATGGTGAACAAAAAGTATTAAAAGTATTGAAGCTCGCTTTTTGGCAATTGACATTAACAGATCTCTTTCTGTGGACCGTATTAAAAAAGTACAAGAAAAGGCACAGCAAATGCATACATTTAAAACCTGGTTTGACAAAAACTTAGGGAAGCTAAAATTTTGCTATTTTGGAAATAGAAATTCAAACCCAGCTGAAAACTAATTCTAAGAGGTCACAGAAAACAATAATTTCAACTGCAGGTCTCACATTCATCATGTACAAAATAAATTATCAGAGGATAGTTTTGAATAAGGCTAAGAACGTACTGGACTATGATTCCTTCCGCACTCTGCATTATTAATTAATTTTACCATATTTAGCACACTGCATTGAGGTCTGGGGTGTTAATTATAAAACATGCTTACATGAACTTTCAAATGCACCAGTTATAAGGCTGGATATACTTTGCTATAACAGTCCAGACATATTTATTTTTCAAGCTGATTTACTTTCGGGCAATTAAAAAGTTGCAAAAGACTTAAGGAATACATTAACATTAAAAATTCAAAGGTTATTCTGTGAAAAGGAGGGACCTTATGGTCTGAGGGGCATAAAATACAAAGAGTGACGAACACAAAACGGACTTTTTGTGTTTTGCAATTCTAGGAAAATCTTTACATGAAGAAGTTTAAATCAAAAGACAAAGAAATGTTGTTTAAGTATAAAATATAATAAAATGTGATACAAATAAAATGTAAATCAGATCAGTAAATTGTCATGTAAATGTCTGTATTTTTTTTAACATACTTGAGTATTCTTACCACCACAGAGGAGTGTAGATGAGTCCAGATACAGCCATTGCAATCAGCAGCATTCTCCAATCACGGATGAAGTAGGCCACAGCAGGCATGGCCATGTAACCTACAGCTGAGCCCATAAAAACTCCAAGGGAACAGAAGA